ATCTTTCCGTCGTAGTTGACGTCGACCTCGCGAATCCACTCGTTGAACTCAGCCGGCTCGAGCTTCTCGCCGATCCTGGTGAGGATGTGGCGGAGTTCGGCGACGAAGACGAATCCCGTGGCGTCCTTGTCGAGGACCTTGAAGGCGTCGTGAAGCTGGCGATCGAACGGCTCCGGCTTCGTGTGCTTGGCCATCAGGTCCAGGAACCGCGGGAAATCGAATGACGCCAAGAGATTCTCCTCGGCGATGATGGATTTGAGCTGCGCCTGGGTAGGGTTCCCGCCGAGGGATCTCATAAGGATCCCAAGCTCCGATGGCACGATCCGGCCGTCGCCGTCGGTGTCGAAGAGCGTGAAGGCCTCCTTCATGGAAGAAACCTGGTTGTCGCTCTGATCCTTGCCCACCGCCCGATGGAGACCTCTCCCTCATCCACTTCGCCCTCTCCCTCCTCCGCTCCTCCGCCACTGCCGCCGACGACCCATCCTTCCTCTCCACCACATCCGTCCTCATCGACAGCTCCACCGCCCGATGGAGACTGAAGATGAGGGAGACCGGGGGAGTAGAGGAAAGAAAGTTAAAATGAAAATGGGAAAACTAACCGAGGAAGAAGAGATTGACACCGAAGAAAATGAAAACAAGAAAATGAAAACGAACCTCAATCGTTTTCATAATTTCTGCATTTTTGGGAAAGGGTCAGAAAACGTTTTCATTTTTAGTTTTTATAGGATAATGCACCAAGCACGTTCTCAACCCATTTTCATTTTTTTGGTCATCGAAAAACGTAAAAAACGTTTTTAAAAACGGAAACAAACACACATGATATCTCTTCATATGTGTACTTTGGCTACAGTTGCCACTCAACATTTTCAGAGCCTAAACTCTGGATATTATCTCCCGTAGTTCATCATAAAATGGAACCCATGAGAGATAGGAACAAAATGAAAGTTACTTTTGTTACAACAACCATGATTACAGTCTATAATCTATTTTCTAAGATCTATATAAGAATAGATGAGTAAATATCATTCCTGCACCTCATGCAAATTATTTTTTTTTCAAAAAAATCTCAAATTTTTAATTTTAATAAAACGCCAGTAACAATTAAGGTTCAATAATTTATGAACAATTAAGATCCAATAGCAATTTAAAAAAAAATTTAACGGTTTAAGACATGAGATTCGCACGTAAAAAGTAAAGATCGTCATTTTTTAAATCTTATCACGTATAAATTTTCTCTTGAACTATCAATTCAATAGCATTATCAGCTATTAAATTTTAATTACAACTGATTTTAAAGTTGTATAAATTAAAAATTCAAGTAGTTCAAGATGTAATAATAAAATTTACCCGGAGTAAATATATAAAAAGTATATGTAAAAAGAATGATTTTAGAACAGTTTGTAAAATGCTTGAGATAAATGCAGCATTCTTGAAAATATATTGAAATGTGACATTAAAAAAAAAACACAATAAAAATTTTGTAATTATTCCACTTGTATAATATTTTAATTGACAATAATATAAGAAAAAAGTATGAATCTTTTTTAACGTATTAATTAATCATATTTTCTATCCGTATAATTTATATAAAATCACAAAAAATTAAAAAATACATAAATTTAACCGTTAAAAAAATCTCCCAGAAAGTAATACAAGAACAAAGAAGCTCATCTTTACTTTCTCCACTTACAATAATACACTTACAATAATATGACGTGAATACACCCAACGTCATTAATGGCTACCCTCCTATAATAGATGAGTCTAAGGGAGTAGGGGTCCAGCGAGCTGTGACCCAGAGACCTAGACAATAAAGCAGTAAACAAAGAAGAATTAACAATAACATCTTGATACAGTTTTCTTTTTGTTTTTCTTTTTAAATTAAGGAAAAAAAAATCTCCTAGTGGAAGGATTCCTATAATAGAAAGAATTAGTGGATTATCCGTGCATTCGCACGAATATGTAACAATTTAATTAACAGTAATTTAAATAAATAAAACGTATAAAAATACACATATATATTTATAAGTTATTGTACATTTGTAACATATATATATATACACATTTATTTATATGTTTATCTTTATAGATAAAAATATACATACTTATTTATATATATACAGAGATTTATTCATATAATTATTATTTTTTTCCTTTCGCTTGTTGTTTCTTCTGAGCTGCAGTTAAGAAGAAAGAAAATAAGAAAATAGTTAGTATTAAATTGTAACAATTGTTAATAAATGTGTTCATATTTATTAAAATATTTAATATAATATATAACACATGATTTTACCTGATTTGTTTTCTTTTTTTCGATGAACTTGCGAAAGAGGTAGATTCGTGAGGGACTGAAACAGACTGAATTGGCATTGAAACTGATGTTGTTTCTTTTGAAGACCCAGTTGTTGTAGGTGGTAAATACAACTGAGGTTGATCATCATTGAAAGTGTTCAAAATAACTTTATCAATAAAAGCTCCCCGAGTACGAAACTGTATGACAAATATTTTTGATATTCCTCTTATTTCCTCTAAAATAGGAGGAATCATGTAGTGATCAGTGTATCCCTCATAATAAGTAAGTATAGAGCAAGCTTTGTTAATAAGTGACTGCACTGTTTTACCGAACATCACAACGTCTGTTCTTCCAATGTTATCTTCAATTTATATATTTATTTTGTACTTGTGTAAAAAAAATAAATTATATTTATTATATTTGTTAATACAAAATTAAAGCGTTTGTTTTTTATAATAGAATTTAGTACCAAGTTAGTGGCATTGTAGATAGATATCCATTAGTGTCACACCACCATGATGTTCCAGATTCTTGTCATTGTCTATAACACTTTATGCAGGCATAATAAAACCATCCTTGATGCGTATTTAAGTCAGTTATAATTGCTCTAACTGTATATTTTGTTTCCTGTTATGTAGAAAAGGAAATATTTTAATTCAATATATATACATATTATATTTAATGGATTATATTCTTAAAATTTATACCCGATTTTGGAATGGATCCAATGCTCGTAATTCTGTGATGGTAATGCGATTTGTATTTTTCTAGTCTTCTAATGATGTTGCTGGCTTTGCTGATGTAGCAATGTGATCCAAACTTTGAATGGAATGACGAAATCTATATAAAAAGATTTTTTTTATGTTAATAAATGAAAATGATAAAATATATATGTCAACATTGACAAAATGAGTATTTTTTGTTATACTCTGTTTAATTCTTCATGTTTCTGGAGTTTCTGGATCTAAAAAATAAAAAGTACCATATGTGTTTAATAAATAAAGACCTCCTGTAATAAATAGAAATTTATAGTTAGTTTTGTAAAAAATTAAAATACAATATATTATAATATGAGTAATAACCTTGGTACTGTTTGGCCGCCATTAAGTGCATTATATAACAAAAATGTAAATTGGGAAAACAAAAAAAAAATATTTATAATACATTCATATTATTATTGAAATATGTAACATATATTATTTACATATTATTTATATGTTGTTTACGTTATTTACATAAAGATGGCATATAAATGAAACTGTAAAAATATCATATTGCTTACAAATTGTATACAAATTGTATACAAAGATAAGAAAACAGAAGGAATACTATAATTTCCAGTACTTAGGTCGGCATTTTTTAGTGAGTTTGTGTAAGTCTCTATTCTGTTTCTTTTTTCTTGTGTCACGTCTTGGAGTTACTGTTTTTTATTAATGGTTTTATTTCTATTCCGTTCTTTTCTCTTGAGGATTGGGAGTTTTTTCTTTTATTTGTTAATGTTGATTTTACTGTTACTTAAATTTAAGTTTGTTTAGTTAAAAAAAATTACAAAAGTAATAACTATTTATATTATATCTATTTTAATAATGACATGAAATACATATTTTTCATCAGTATATACTGAGAAAACTATATTGACATTTTTGAATTGAATAAGAGAAAGAGATAACAAAAGTATATAAATAAATAAACAAATAAACAAATAAGAACTTAATACATTGTAAAACAAATCAATGAAAGAAAACATAAAACTATAATATAAACGTTTACAAACAAAATATGTAATAAGACATTAATTCAGGTATTTATTCTCTGTTGCTACCAATAGAAAAATGACTGAAAAATATAGTTAGCTATCAAATATATTATTACAGAGTTCAGATAGAATATCAAACAAATGAAAATAATAACAAAATGACAAAAACAGAAACAAGAGTAAAAAGAACAAAGACGTGAAGCTAGAAGAAAACAGAGAGAATATATAATATGATAAAAAGAATGACAAAAGATAAACGGTGTAAGAAAAAATAACAGAGGAGAAACATACTTTATTATCACTAAAAAATAATAACAGTCTAAGAAAAACCAAAATAAATTCGAAAAAGAAGAGTGAAAACAATTGTTGCCTAAAATTGTGAATCTAGAATCTCGCAAGTGCACGAGTCAACAAGTAGTAAAATGATGAATAACCAAGTATCGTCCCACATGGATTGAGTGTTTTTGAAATCAAATTGCTAAGTTAATTCTATTCAAGTCTTTAAGAAGAAAACTAAAGTTGATTTTAAGATGTTAAAAACTAATAATAATTTGACTGTAAGAAAATGAACAACAAAGATAAAACTAATTAATAACAAAATGTGCAAATAAAATTGGCCAATATCACTGTTCGTGGCTCACAATTGCTAAACTGTCTCCTAACAATGCTGCGCGATGCTGCAGCAACGGACAGCAATGACTACTAACTGTTAACCAGATTTACTAAACCAGGGATTTTCCAATCCTCTGTCTACTGATCTTAAAGCTAAATCCCACAAATCCATTTACAAATCTAGACTCTAAAATCAGAGAATGAAGCTCTAAATCATATGGTTATGCAAGACACAATATATTCCTATATCATGTGAATCAAAAATCTAAAACAAGATCTAAGAACCTGCACTATTCAAGCTGTGTCCACTCAACTAAATCTTCCCAGATCTAATCAAAGCTATACTCCCCTCTTATGATTTCCCAATCACAGTTAAGGCACAAATTCAGCTCACTTGAATAAACAAAGAAATAATCAT